AAAGCTCTGTTGTGCAGCATGATCTCTAGGGACAGAAGCGTCCACGGATCTGGGGTCTGGGGACTGTCCGAGGCAGGCTGTGACCCGCAGGCTCTGCGGAAACTGCCTGGAGACCTGCAGCTCTAAGCCTTGCTGGGAACCTGCACCAGCATGTCAGGTCCCCCATTCTCGTGTTAGTAGCCAGCGACACACATGTGGCTTCCTAGGGCGCATGTGGTATGTATCACCTGGTGCAGAACAGGGTGGGCTGGGGGGAGGTTTCTCTGTTTTCCTCTCCAGCATCCCCTCCCCACTGCTAAGAGGGTGCGCCTCCTCTTCCGGGACTCCCACCCTAGTGCATTCTTGGTGAGGCTGCTGGTCACCTCCGGGCCCTCCCCTAGACACGGGCAGGGGCCCAGGCAGAATCCTCCAAAAGCAGGGCACAGTGAGCAAGGCTCATGGGGGCACTCACTGCTCCGGACTCCCACACTGGGCTGCTGCAGGTCCTGGCCTGACTCGGGTCTTCGGTGTCTCCCTGGTCCCAGGGAGGGATGGGAAGGGACCAGTCTCCCTGCCTTTCAGTGACCAGTCCCTGAGCACCTGGACACGCTCTGATCTGCTGTCTCCAGGCCCAGGCTGAACTTGCACTTGCCCTACAGGCTTGTTGGGCAGAGCAGGGCCTGTGCTGCCCAACTGTGTGCCCCAGGTGGGAGTCATTAGGGGCAGGAGAGATGTGTGTGGTGCAGCCAGTGCTGAGGCCACCCCCTGGGACCCGCCCTGGCACATGGGAAGGAAGGCACAAGGTAGGTTAGGCTCCCCTCTGAGTGCAGCAGCTCCAGAAGTGTGTTTGGGAGGGAACTGTCATGCCCCTCCCTGGGGCTGCTGCACCCTGTCCTCCATGTCCTGGGCACTAGGCTAGGCCAACTTAGGATAGGGCCTACCTCCTTGTTGCAACCCCCTCCAGACCACAGAGGCCGGCACCTGCCACATCTCACGTCTCTGGCCAGTTCATGCCAGGCTGGGGGGCAGATGTCAGAGCCAGCAGCTCCTGTTCTCTTAAGTGCTTCTGATGCCCAGGTGAAGGTACCCTCGTGCCCCAGCCCACAGCCCTGGCCCAGACTCCTTGCGTCTCAGCAGCTGTCACTTACTGTCTGCTTCCTGCTTCTGGGTCTGCATGACTCACGGGTGCTGGGGTCTAAGTCTCCAGACCACCCAGCCTAGCCTTGGTGAAAGGGGAACCCGGCCGAGCCCCCGCTGGGAAAGGGCCCTGTCACGTCAAGGACTGCCCAACACGCCCCTTCCCAAGAAAGGAGCCCATGTCTCCTGGTCCCAGCCTCCAACATGAGGTCCACCTGGTAGTTGGGCTGAGCTAACAGAGGGCACCCAGGGCAGCCACTGTGTGAGGGGCGTTCTCAGCAAGGGGGTACAGTCGGCCCTCAGGATCTATGGGTTCTGCATCCATGGATTCAACCAACCAAGGATGTCAAATATTTGAAAAAACAAACATGAGTGGTTGTGTCTGATTTTTTTTCTTCTTGTTATTTCCTAAACAACACGATACAGCAACTCTTCACACAGCAGTTACATTGTATTAGGTATTATTAGTAATCTAGAAATCAGTTAAAGTACACAGGAGGACACCTGTAGGTTACAGGCAAACACTATTGGAGATCTGCTCCAACCTAGCCCTCCTGCTCCTGGGTTTGAGGCCCACAGTGTGCCTGTGGGGGACGAGATCCTGTGCAGATTCAGAAAGCTCTCCAAGGAACTAGGCCCAGCCTGTGCTGTGACCACAGGCCTGCAAGGCTTCAGACACCTCCACCCACTAACACCCATGGCCGCCTAACACTGGACACTCACTGAGCTCTGTCTCTGCTACCCAGCCCAACTCTTGGCCTTGCCTGTGCCACGAGCTTCCAGCTCCCACTTCCCTTGTGGCAGGAGGGCTCTGCGTCAGGTGAGGCAGGGTTCGCTGCCTGTCTGACAGGGGTCAGGGACCCTTCTCCAGGCTGGGCCAGGGGGAACCAGAGGCCAGTGGGTTTTTTTGTTTTTTTTGAGAAGGAGTCTCACTCTGTCACCCAGGCTGGAGTGTAGTGGCGTTATCTTGGCTCATTGCAACCTTCGCCCCCTGGGTTCACATGATTCTCCCGTCTCAGTCCCCCGAGTAGTTTGGATTACAGGTGCCTGCCACCGCACCTGGCTAATTTTTGTAATTTTTTTTTTTTTTTTTTTAGTAGAGACGGGGTTTTCTTGGCCAGGCTGGTCTTGAACTCCTGACCTCGTGATCCACTAGCCTGGGCCTTCCAAAGTGCTGGGATTACAGGCGTGAGTCACCGCGCCCAGCGGAGGCCAATGGTTTTGATGGGGTGGGACCCACGGAAGCCCTCACCTTGGCTGTTCCCAACCACGACGGTTTCCCTGGTAGGAGCAGAGGTTTGCTGGGACCTCCATATTGGCGGCAGGGGGCCAGGGGCCTGGTGCTAGGGTTAGGGTCAGGGTTAGGATTAGGGT